GAGCAGAAGGAGCACAATACAGGTCTCTAGCACAAGAGGATCTACACAAGGCCCTGATTCTACAGAAAAGATGAAGAAGGCAGAATTAAGTGCTAATCGTCAGCAGCTCATTAGAGGAAGAGGAGGGTGCCTCTCAGAAATCTGGGGGCACAGCAGATTTCAGTGCACAAGTATCCCCTAATGCAGGACCCAGCTTCTTCGAAACCGCCTGGGCCAGCCACCTCTTTATGTCAGACTTACTTCATCGGACGGTTACAAGGACAGCGTGGGGAACAGGCGGTTGGTCTAGGTGGCCTTAAGCTCATCCGAGGGACAGTACAGTGGTGCCTCGCACAACAAGTGCCTCACACAACGATAAATTCACATAACGATGGCTTTTCCTGAAAAATTTGCCGCCTCACACAACGATGTTTCCTATGGGGATTTTCGCTTAAGGACGGCAATCCGTTCCAATTGGAATGGATTAACTGGTTTTCAACGCATTCCTATGGGAAATGGTGTTTTACAGAACGATGTTTTACAGAACATTTTTTTTGAACCAATTAACATCGTTGTGCGAGGCACCACTGTACAATAGTAAATATAAATATACAAGCAGCAGATAGATAAGAACTGAAAGCAAGCCAGCCATTCAGAAGAGCACTGAGTGCTGCAGACAGATGTAGGTAGCAGCCACGGCACGGATACTAGCCAGCAGAGAGACCTTTAAGGCTAATTTTATCTCTCTCTGCACAAAAAAGACATGCACCCCTTTTTATCTCCGGCCGTAGGCACAAAGAGAAAGAAACCAGAAGGCCCTCCTGGCTGGGAAGGCGAGGGAAGGACTTACTCTGCTTAAAGCCGAGGTGAGGCACCCTCTCGATGGGCGTGTGGCGGTCCTTCATGAACTTGTAGAGGTTGACCAGAAACGTTTGCTCCTCTTCCTTCTCGCCGCTGAGCATCTGCTCGTCTCCTGAGTCGTCCGCCAGAACCTTCGGCTCCCCTTTGGAGGGGCTCTCGTGCTGGGAAGGGGGAGATGCCTGAGGAGGAGAACCACATGTGGATCCTCAGCCACCAAAGGTGACAACGGCAACGTCCAGGCTCAAAAATACACCCTGCTAGGAAGTCCACACCTTTGTCCGTAGCTTATGCCGGGAGGCCTTACCCAGAATGCAATGGTTCAGAGGACTCCAACGAAAGATGACCCACACGGAGGCAGCATCGTTCCCAGAATCCCCCAACCTGCACAGCCACGTTGTCTGAGGCATCGTTCTTCTATTTTCTTTCTCTCCTCAGAATTCTAAAAAAGCTCTTTCTTCTGGGGAGTGGGTGTGATGGTGGTGGTGGTGGGGCTTGGAGGCCTCTAATCCAGTGGTTCCCAACCTGGGGTCCCCAGATGTTCTTGGACTGCAACTCCCAGAAGCCTTCACTACTAGCTGTGCTAGCCAGGATTTCTGGGAGCTGTAGTCCAAGACCATCTGGGGACCCCAGGCTGGGAAGCACCGCTCTAATCAATGATTCTCTGCAACTCTGCCAAGCGCCAGTTTCCAGGAGCCTCTCAGAGAAACCCAAGGAGTCTAAAATATGATAAATGTTTATAGAGAGCTGGTGTGGTTTAGTGAACAACACAATGGGTTAGAACTCAGGAGACCTGGATAAGAATCCCCTCAGCCACGGACATTCGCCAGAAGGGTAGCAATGCTAAGCCACTCCTTGAACGTCTCGCTTGCTTTGAAAACCATGTTATGGTCATGATTTCATCAGCATGAAGATCTTAGAACTGCAGAGCCAGAAGGGACCCTCGAGACCATCCAGTCCATCCCCTGTCAAGGAGGTCCTGTGGGGAATAGAACTCCCAAACTGGGGAGACCTAAACCACTGAGCTGCTATCCAGCAGTTCTTCGTGCCACATGACAACTTTCTCTAAGATAACAACACCTCATATCTAAAGCAAAGGAGGGGCTTTGAAGCACAGCGTCAGACACATGGGGAGCCAAACCCAAAAATAATCAAACTGGCCTTCTCCCAAACCTGGGAACGAGGACCGAGAAAACACAGAAACACCCTCCCACCTTTGGCAAAAAGGTGCTCCTCATGCCACCACCTGACACTTCCTTCTACCAAGCCAGACGTTTGTTCCCTCCACCTCTGTTCTACCCACACGGAGTGGCGCCAGCTTCTTATGGGTCTAGGCAGGATTCTCTCCTGGCCCTAACTGGAACTGCCCAGAACTAAATCCGGGGCCTTTAGCAACCCGAGGAGGTTGAGCATCCTTTACCGAGCATCCTTGACTACACTCCCCAAGCATGTTGAAACACAAACCAGCTCTTTCGGAGCCCACCTCCAGATCCTCTTAAGCACAAAGAAGAATGGCGGTGAATCGCACCCGTGTCCTCTTCCTACCAGGCCCCAGATGGAGAACCCATACGTAGGATGTGCCCGCCGCAGGGCCCTCTGGCTCTTGTTCTCGGGCTTCAGAGACACGCTGCTTCTGACCCCGGAGATAATCTAGATGAGCATCACAAACAGGGACCCCCCCCACCCCCAGCCCTCAACGCCATAAGCTCCATGAACAAATCTGATGCCTCTCCAAAGCCTTCTCTCAGAGTGCTCGGCTTCAGCGTGAAATCAAAACCAAACCAAACACCTCGAGCAGTAATTGTCCATTTGTCGGCCTTTCACGGTGCCTGACGTCTAACCCGCAGCTGTCTTGCTCTGTCAGAGGCAGCCCGGCTTCTAACCATTCGACGACACAGCCCTTGAACCCCAAATTGGGGCCGGAAACACAATCCTCATGACCTGCTGACTTCCATGCCCCGTCTCCAGCCTTTTCTCCCCCCTCTTTTGCATCCCCTTCGTACATGCAACATGGCTTCAAAGGCTGCTGTTTTTAAAAACCAGTTTCCAATTAAAACAAAGCAAAACATCCCAACAGCTTCTTAGGAGATCCAAACCATTCGCTCTTCTTGCACAAACAGAAAACAGATGGAGTCCTGTTTTGGTTCTGAACAGCTGCATCAGCCGGAGCATCAAAACCCATGACCTGCAACCCCGGAGTCAATTAGCAAAGGAAGGGAATAACGAGGGAATGTTTTTCCCCAGAGAGAACAGCAAAGACCGCAGGAAACGTTTAATTAAGTCCACAACCGTCCTCTTCTCCTCCAAGCTCAAATACATCTTAGAGGAAAGCATCTCCTCTCCTGTGGAAATCCAGCAGTTCAGGGGTAAGGCACCTGCTCTGAAAGACATTGGGCAGCAACGCCTGGAAGTACAGTAGTGCCCCGCATAGTGATGATAATCCGTGCAGCAAAAATCGTCGCTATATGGATTCGTCACTATGCGGGGGAAAAGCGCCCATAGGAATGCATTAAAACCCGTTTAATGCGTTCCTATGGGCAAAAAACTCACCTTAAAGCGAAAATCCTCCATATGGCGGCCATTTTCGCTGCCCAGTAAGCGAGGAATCTGGGCAAAAACACAGCGGGTAGCCATTTTATTTATCTGGCGGCTAGTTTGGAACCACCGACCAGCTGTTCTAAAAAGATCGCTATGCGAAAAGCGGTAAGCAAAACAGCTTACTGATCATCGCAAAGTGATTTTTACTACTGTATTTAAATCATCACAATGTAATCGCTTTTGCGATCACAAAAAATCATCGCTATGCGGATTTGTCGTTAAACGAAGTGCTCGTTAAGTGAGGCACCACTGTATTCCCGTCTCTTCCCTAAAGGGCCTAGAATTCAACACTGGATAAACAAAACAGAAATTGGTGTCTACCACTTTGGGTGTTGAGCTATCAGGCTGACGCTTCTGGTATATTAATTTTTTTATACCCCACCTTGAAGCTTCTTCTTTTCCTTTTAAAGCCATCTTACCAGCAAGGAAACAAGAAAAAAAAACATACAATATTTATAACACAATGAGACGTCATAAACACTTAGGGTCAGACCATACCCAATATTAAATGTGTAACACTGCACTTAACGATCCTTCTCCCTTGTTTAGCTCCTCCGCTATTCCTTTTTTTGAACCACAAACCAAGCATGTGCTTCTCTTAGCTGGATTGGGGCCGGCATGCACCAGCTGGCAGGGTTTAAAACCTGTTTCTGGGTTTTATTTTAATACTCACCTGAGTACAGTGGTTTTAGAAGTGGCAAAATTCCATTAGCACTAAGGCTTTGTTTTGTTTTGAATTGCACATGGCAAAGGGGTACAAATTTAAGTAATTAAACGGAAGGGGCAAGGTTTAAAATAAATCTCTCTAGTCCATGCATACCCAACAAGTCCTGATATAGAGTTGGATCACATAAACCTGCCTTGAAGGGGAAAAATACAGATTTTAAATTACGTGCTACAGATTCAACCTAAGATGTCATTCGAACCCGAATCTCTATCGACTAGATAGGCGGGATATAAAATAAATAAATAAATAAATAAATATTATCATTGGGGTTTTTTTTAAATCTGTCGATACAAAGATAGTAACAAGCCAAGCCAAGCAAAGGTGTTTCATGTCTGCTTAATTCCTGCAGGCTCCCTGTGTACCTTCAGATGAGCTCTGAAAAATGTTTGGAGAATTGTTTTTCAAGTATGGGATTTGTTTTCTGTTTTTAAACAGAAATGTGGAGCAGGGACAATAGAAACGGACCCCCCTCTTTAAAAAAAAAACACGCTTTTCAGCATGCAGAAAATTTGCTCAAAGCCAGAGATGGGAGATAAGGACTCAGTTTGGACCGCAGAACATCTGTAGCATCCAGCGGATGCGGGTCTAAAGAAAGTCCCCCCCCACAACTCCAAACTACCGCAAAGTGCACACACACACACACACACACAGCACAAAGCACAAAAGTGCAGCTGCCTGATGCCATCAAGAGCTGTTTTTGTGGACAGGAGGCAATTTATTAGCTCCAAAGAGTCCTCAGCTTGTTCGGCTTAAAGGGAGCGCGAGAGATGCTGAGCGGAGTGTATTATGTGCAGGGCCGGGCCGGCGGCCAACTTGGTCAGGGTGCTGGCAATGTGTAACAACACAAGAGGCTGTTTCCAGGAAAACACAACGGCACAGATTTTCGCTCTCACACTACCTCCCTCGTGCTCCCTTGGCTACGAACCTCTCTCTCTCTCTCCTCGCTCTTTTGTGCATTTGTTTGTTCTAAATTTTCCGGAGTTATAAAACTTGTTGCTATTTTTGGTCAAGGCAGCTGCTTGGCTCCCAGTGCTTCTTTTTCTATTCTTTTCAGCCGCTCACGATAGAGCCGTGTTATTTTAGCTGCTGAGCTATTTACAGGGCCTGGGGGGTTTGGTGTGGCTCTTTGCTTCCCAAACCAAAAAAGCTAGTTCCAAAGGCGCAAGAGGGCCACGCTGACAGCGCTTCGGTAAAGCTCTTTCAAGCTTTATTTCTCCCGATGACCGCTCCCAAATCTCAGCAATGAAAAACCCAGAAACAATCCCGAACAACCTGGAAACGCTGCCTGGATTAAAGCCCAAATCAAAAGGCAATGGAAGAAGTGTTGACTTGTCAGTCAGCCATGTGCTCTGTAGATGGTCTCCCGTACATGGGACAAGCAACTGGATCAGGGTCTGAAGATGCAGAAAGAAAGCAGCTTTCTGTGACCTCTTGCGTTCCATCGGAGATACCATGATAGACGAAGTGGGTTGGCCACAGTCGATGCACTGGTTCCCCTACCGCTTCTGCTCACATAGGTATTGCAAGTTTACCGCCTGGTGGGGTTTCAAACCTGCATCTGGGCATTTATTTTAATGTACTGCAGTTTTAGAAGTTGGGGGCATCTTCATTAGCAAGCAACTGTTTGCACTGGTGCTTAGCAAAAGTGAAAAGAAAGGTGTCAGCAGAGACGATAACACGGTCACCTCTTCTGAAAGGAGAACGATGCACCTCCGTCTACGCCCACCGAAGACACCCGAGGTCTTTGGCCACGCTCCTTCCAACTCTCAGGAAGGCTACTGCTTGCTTCCAGCCTTCCTTGACCACAGATTATTCCCATTGCTGTTTTTGAGCCAAACCCACCTCACAATGTCCTTGTGGAGAAAACAACTGGAGGGAAAGGAGCATCAAATTGAGCACAGAGGTGTGTTTTACCGGGGGGTCACCTCTTCACCACAGGCCACGAAGGAGCAGCTACCTGCTGATGCCAACCTGGTCTTCTGGGGAAGAAAGGCAGAGCTTTGAAAAATTCGCCGGTGCGCCCGTGCCCGAGTTTAGAAAAATTTCGGGGAGGGTTGTCGTTCAGGTCCCAGCATGCCAGGAAACTGGGTTCTGGCACCTGCCATCCAAAGGAAAGTTATTTTTCCAAGCTCCGAACCCAGTTTTGCATGACTCACTCCACCTGTGTCACGGCTGGCCGAAAGCAGTCCGCAGAGATTCCCGGGCGCTCAATGGAGATGGTGAGTTTTCGCCAGCCCGCCTTGCCAACAAGCCTTGTTGTGGACAAAATGTCCCACCGCTTGTATTATTATTCACATCTCTAAAACCATTTAGGTTTATTTGTGGGGGGCAAGAAAGGAGAAGGGCCACCGAGCAAGACAGGATTGAGCCTCGGCTAAGATCAAGGATAACAGCCGTGGGAGAATACACCTGGATCATCAAGCCTTCAGAGCGACCCTCATGTGTCACAATTCATTTGACGCCGATTCTTTGTCCTGAGGTGGGGAGGAAGAGGAATTGAGCAGAGAGGGTTTCCCCTAACCACCTATTTTGCAGCAGCCTGAGTGATTTCTGGGCAAAAGAGAGAGCTCATTTCAGAAGTTCACACACCTCCCTTCGACCCAACATCCAGATAAATTTGTATTTTCAGTTTCGTTCTTTGGGTGTGAACTTTGCTAGCTCGTTTTATTTTAATGTGAGCTCTCATGGATAAAATCCAAGGTGCCCACAACGTTTTTGTCTTTTCCCCCTCTGTCCCTTCATTTTAATTTTTTCAGTTGTTTTTGCCTGTAATGCTTGCACAGACTAACACGGCTACCTCGTCTACAGCTACCATCTCTGGTTTGATGATCTCCCTCCATCTGTTACACACACAAAAGGGGAAAGAGAAAACCAGACAATAATTTCTACATTCCCCACCACCACCGCCAACATAAAGATCTACAAAATCAGAGCCTCCAAAATTTTCTAGGGGCTCTTGACACTCAGCTAAATTGGGCATTCATATCTCAAACATGAGGCCCAAACAAGCCTTTTTGGCCCAAGCCTGCAACTCCTTTGCTGTTCTCCTCGTGCAAGCCACCATCAACCAGAAACTCTCTTGTTAACCACTGTTTCTTGCTTCATTCCATCCAAGTAACGATGGACACCAGCTTCAGAACCTGCCAACATCCTACATTAGTGTGTGTTTAATCCCCTGGCTTGCTTCAGTGTCAGCAAGCAGGCTTTTCTACTTGAACGGGCTCAGCATATATTGGCCAGCCCAGGAAACCAGGGTTACCAAGAAGCCATGATCTTCAACCAACTACTGTACAGTTTAAGACAAACGTTGTCAGTATCTCATATCTTACATCACGAAGCCCATTTCCACACAACCCCAAAGTGTGTGTCACTGTGTTATTATATGTACCATTTGGGGTAAGTTGGTGGGCAGAAGCACCCAGAACTTGCCAGTAATTTAATATTTTAACACACCAGCATCAAACTGGCTACATCTGCTTAAATCTGCTTACAAGCTAAATTACGCACATAAAAGGGTGTGACGGCAATATTTTTCAGGCTAACGTGTTACTTACAAAGCAGTGTTTTCTTAAGGTTAGGTGCATTCCCCCATTTAATGCAAAAGTAACTGTTCTGATGGTAACGTTTTATATTTAACATGTTATTTCCAAGCTCAAAGGGAACAGGGGATTAGCCAAAACACTGACTGCCCAAAGTTATCCCAAAAGGTCATTGGTGGGTAAATGGAGGTAGTTAGCTCACCTGCAGGAGGACATGGGGAGAGGGCAGTGAATTCTTAGTAATTGTTCTGAAAACCCTACAACCCCACCGAGACAACTTCTGTGTTTTACCCGTGTTACAAACCCAACGGGCTTAAGATCCCGGTTTGTTCAGAAACTGGTACCAAGAAGTTCCCCAGCTTAGGTCTCTTATCAACTTGCACCCGTTTAGACACATGCCCGCCTATAAACCCAGGTTTGTTTGGGAGCAACTAACCAGGATCTGTTCTGACCTAGTTTGCAAACCACCGCTGTTGCAAACTGTCATTTGCTCCTGCATCTGGGCTGACAAAACTCTGAACGTATTGTACAAATATTAGGATTCAACTCTTTGCTTCCCTGTGGAGTCTGCATCATCATCATTTCACTCACCACAGGTTCTGGCCTCTCCGGCGTCCTTTGAGGTTCCTCCACCTCCGGACTCTTCGCGGCCGCGTCCTCCATTGAGCACAGACCCTCGGCCTTCTGGGATTCGCTCTCGGCCATGGGATCTCGCTTCTTTTTCCGTTTGCCTTTAAAGCTGGGTGCTGCAGGGGTCGGGGTGGGAAGCGGGAAAGAAGGGAAAGCCACTGAGAAATGAAGACATGGACCGGGGGGGGCGCGGAGGGAGTCAAGACGCAGCTTCTAAAGAAGAGGAGAGACCCAATTCCCTCCAGCAAGACAGAAGGTAGATTCCTGGATCGGCAGGAGTCTGGCCTCTGTCCCTTTTCCGCTGTGGCCAATGCTGTAGCTCACAGCTCACTTGCGATGCGGCTGCCGAGAGGTCTTTCCACAGCAAAACAGAGCCTTCAAACTTACCACATTCTGCACTTGGTTTCGGAGTTTCCTCTGCCACCCACTCAACCCTCTGACCACTCCACCGCCCTCCATCCTGCGGGCCACGTGTATCGCATTTTCCTGCTCCGTCTTCCACGATTCGGCAACATCCATTTCACACCTCTTTGCCCTTAACGTGGCACACAAAACTGCCCCTGTGGTACCTCAGGTCTCTTGTGGGTGCGGCGCCCGCCCATACCCAAGAAATTTCAGGCAGATCTCAAAAAGGGCTTCACCTCTACTGAGGGGACCTAACCACTTTCCTAGAAGCGATGCCTGCCTCGGTTGACATACAGCCCTGAATGGCTTCCTGTTCGAAGCTCTCACTCGGCACAGGCGAGCCTGCATTTTGGCAGACGCAGCCCGCCCGTGGAGTTTCCACTTTCACTTTCACAGTGGTTTCCGGAATGGTGTGAACCTCGCCCCCAGCAGCCACATCCTTCCCTCCTAGACGCAGCTCCACCGACCGCCTCAAGCAAGCCCTCCAAAGCCCTGACCCGAAGACCGAAGGGAAGCCGCTTTGAACGCAAGGACCCCCCCGGCCTTCTATGCCTCGTGTCCCACCAGCCCCTCTGTCAAAGAAAACCCTGGACCCGCCACAGCTGCAACCAAAAATAAGTCCCAATTTCCTGGGAAGGGTACGTCTACATTGACAGGCCGTCGGTTATGATGTTGGCCATTAGCAGTACATCGTAAACAAAAGGTTAGGAGGATGTGGGGCGATGAGAAACACTTGAGAATTCCAAGTCAACTTCTAGCGCATCCAGAGTTGACAGATGCAAGCGGAGGTGGGAACTCAGGGTGAGTGAATCTTAGCCATCGTTATGAAAGCTCTGTGTCCCAACTAGATGACTTATGTGTTTCACTCAAAGTAAATACAGTCGTCTCCCACTTTACGATTACCCCGTTTAACGGCGACTCCGCTTGATGGTGAGGTTTTTGCGATCGCAAAACGATGGTTTGAATGGGGTTTTTCTGCTTTGCGATGATCGGTTCCCTGCTTCGGGAACTGATTTTCGCTTTACGACGATCAAAAACAGCTGATCGTCAGGTTTCAAAATGGCCGCCAGCTGAAGAAAATGGCCCCCCGTTGTGCTTAGGGACGGATTTCTCGCTGCACAGGCATGGAAAATGGCCACCCCTATGGAGGATCTTCGCTGCATGGTGAGTTTTCAGCCCATTGGAACGCATTGAACGAATTTTCAATGCATCTCAATGGGCTTTTTTATTTCGCTTTACGACGTTTTTGCTCTACAGCAATTTCGCTGGAACGAATTAACGTCATCAAGGAGGCACCCATGTATCTCTACTGCCAGCTGGGAACTCTACTGCTGCAGTCCCCTTTCCTTGTATGGCCAAGCAAGACCCCAGGGCAGCCTTCCCTCCGATTCATCTCCCATGCCACCGAGGACCATAAATCATGCCAAGATAGAAGCAAAGAGCCTGATTCGGCAAGGTTGCAGAGAAGCCACTGAAGTTCAAGAGTCCTGCTCTCCTATAGATGGGGCCAGCTTCCTGTTAGGACCTCCAGGAAATATAGGTCATGGAGACTCTATATGGTATACACCCATGCAAACACAGCTCCGGCCTATAGGTGAAAACGTATTCCCGAACCTCTGGTGCTACCCAGGCTCACAGCAAATTCTTCTTCGCCACGACAGGGTGGCTGGTAGGACTCAGGCCGAATCCTGCACCTGATGGAAATCTGTTAAATAAGCCAACCCTCTTTCCTTAAGACGTCTCAAAGCAGATATCTAAGAAATCGAACATAACACACAGAAGATATAGGAAACTTTCAGAAACCCAGGGCATAAAAATACCTCCCACTCAGCCCAAGGCACCGCAAATGTAAAACCTACAGAAGATGGAAAGGTGTTTCCCAAGTAAATTGCCACTTTAAAGAGGTGGGCAAATTCCTTGCAGAAAAAAGGGGGCAATTTTCTGCCCCAAGACCCTCTGACGGTAGGACAGTCCACCTACCCACCCACCCCCAAAACAAGCGGCTAGACTGTTCACGTCATCTCAGGTAACAAAACCCTGACTAGGTGTCTTCCCTATCTGTCGGTTAATTTGAGCCTTTGGGCCCCTATCAGTTGCACATGAGGAGACCATCAAAGTCTCTCCATTCCTCAGCCTTTGAAACGCAACGAAAGTTGCACTGTCACCCTTCGCACTCTTTAATGAGAAACGAACGAACATGAAATTCAACGTGAGCGTGACCCTTTGCCTCAGAATCCCAGGGCTTTCCAACCGGGAGCCTCCCGGTTTGATTTATGGCAGGGGTCTGGATCCGAAAGCTTCAGCTGACCCCTGCCAAAGGCTACGTCCCACTCCATCTTATCCATCCTGCCTGCTGCCAAGGGCCAACCCGCAAGGAACAACTGCCATGTATTGAAATAAAACATGGCTTCCTATCAGAGGCCAAATATTTTGGTGGGCAGGACAATCCTTGGGGAAGACTTAAATACAGCACCTACCTCTGAAGAGGAAAGCCCCCCTGAGCCCAATCCCATCTCAGCCGCAACCTCATGCCGCAGCCTGAGATGAACCACATTCTGTCCTCTTCCAGCTCCTCCTTTGCAAGACAAGGAGGGTAACCCTGACCCATCCAAAGGGGACTGCTGAGAAGATTTCCCACCAGAAATTCCCAAAGGGCTTGCAAAAGTTTAAGCCTTCGTGTGGGCAACCCACTGAGCCTGCTTTCTCCAAAGGCTGCCTCTTTGCCGAACGATCTGCCCTCCCAAATTCCATCTGTTCCTGCAACATTTAGCTTCTGATGCAAACTGAAAACACTCCTATCTAGGTAAGTCTTCCCTCTATCATGGATCACAAACACGTTGTATATTAATTTGTGGATTGTGTATACTGCATTGGGTACTTGTTGACACTTATATTGACATACCTCATGTACAGTATCATTTTCTCATGCACTGATTTTGAAACCTTTGAATCTAAGCCATTTATAAATATTTGTGAATAAAAACATTATATTTGAAACGTTGTTGTTTTTATAAATCAACGTCCTCTTCTCACCAGCCCAAACAAAACGGGAATGGGTAACATTATGAGGTGCTTGACTAGCTTCTCTTCAATTCCATCTTCACCAAAGAAATTCAGCTGGGATGTGCTCAGGAGAAAACTGCCAAAGAACCTGGAAGCCATTTGGCTGAACTGAAACCTTCTCAAGAGGAAGACCCTTCCAACTGGTATGAAAAGCCCGTTGGCTTCCCAAATGGTAAAGCTGCAGGTATGGTTGCAGAGAGCAATTATAACCGAAAGAACGTGAAGAAAATTGAATTTAAAGAAAATAAACGAGAGGGTACTTCGAAATAAGACTTGTTGTCTGCATGCACAGTATTCAACAGATTAGTGTCTCTCCCTCAAGGTATTTAAAAGATAAATTCTGTATACAATTGGGAGGGGGGAGCCCCATTTCTGACCACATAGGACGAAGGAGAAGGAACTGTTGTCTGCATGCACAGTATTCAACAGATGAGTGTCTCTCCCCCAAGGTATTTAAAAGATCAATTCTATATACAATCGGGAAGTGGGGGAAGAAACCCCATTTCTGACCACATAGGATGGAGGAAAAGGAAGCAAAGAGGCTAGAGAAGTGTCAAACTTTCCTCTTTGCCTGCACCCCGAAGCCAGCCTTGTTCTGCTCCCAAAAACTTCATTTTCCTGGCCAAGGCAATCACAGACCTTCCACTGCGGCTTAAAAGAATTATGTGCCAACAATGGGGGGAGGCACAGATGGCTTTAATCTCTCTCCAGGTCATCTGCCTGAATCCATCACGGGTCAACGGACGCCAGGAGAGCAAGCGAGGCGGAGAAGTGTCTGGGTCCTTTCCCTCCCCAGGGTGGGATCCGCAGAGGCTCCTTAGGCTTTCCTCCGTTTCCACCTTGAGAGCGCATCAGAGAAACCACGTCTTTTTCTCCCCTGTATCAGCAGCCTTTGAAGACGGCTGGGATTCGTGGGTTGCCAGCAGGTCAGACCACATTGCGGGACCGGCTTCCACTGGACGTCCCACCAGCGCCACGAAATAACAACATTTCACATTCTAGAAAAAGAACAGGGAAGAAACAGTTCGACACAAATAGCTCAGGCAGCAGGAGAGGGGGAAAGTTTGTTGTTGTTTTTTAAAAAAGAGGAACCCAGGGCCCAACTTGGTTTTACTCGCTTCTCCACAAGGAGAAAATCCCTTGTCACGGCCAACATGAACAGCCATGAATTCTAGGCACCCTTGACACTGAATCTGCACCACCCCCATTGTGTCAGTTAGTGGCCACTTTAATTGTAACGGCTCGGCCCTAATGAATCTTGGGGTCTGAGCCCCACAGCCGAGGACAAACCCCACCGTTCCGCAGCCTGGAGCCAGGGACGGCTCTACGCGCTCAAGGTGAGCGACGGACTCACAGAACGGCAGAAGGCCAAAGATCCCCACGCAGAAGACCGTGCTCAGAGCAAGCCATGCTAAATCCTTTGCCTTTCGGGGCGCTGCTGTGTTTCGCCGATCGTTTTTAAAATATTGCGCCCTCACATGCTTTTGGAGAGCGGGACCGTAAGCTTTCAAAAACAGCGGGTTAATCCCCTAACTGGCTGGTTAGGACGCTACTTAGCCATATGGACTTCGCCGTCGTCGCTTCCACCGAGTCCGAAAAAAATATGCAACCAGGATATGGCCCCTCTGATCCAGGTGTTTTGAATGTGCTTCAGCATATGCAGCCTCAGAAGGCGCACCAGGCCCTTGGCAAGTCTGGGAGGCGACCACCTGCGCCCAGGACCGTTGCCCTTCCTCCTGGTTTAAGCCCTGCCAGGATATGCCAGGGCCTCTGGAGTCCTTCGTTTCTCTGTGAGAAGAAAGCCGTGCCTATTTCTCTGAGCTAGGACGATTCCCTTTTCCTAGCAGGGGGATTCTGGGATTTGTAGTCAGAACCGGAGCCAGTCCTGGTGGGGTCAGGCTGGTGGGTGACTTCTGCTATGACACTCAAGGGGGTGGGGAATGTTGTCCTTTGAACTCTCGTGAACCCCCTGCCAGCTTTCTGTCCTGTCAACCATGGTGCCCACCTGCCTGGATTGGGACCGGAGGCCAAGTGTTCCAGCAATTGGGGTCCCTTCTGCTGGGGACGTCCATTCCACCTCCTGGTCCCCCTGATGGCACTGGGTTCAATTTCATCCCCCGTGACGTTTAACCTCTACATGCAGCCATCTTTTGTGTGTGTGTGTGTGTGTATATATATATATATCCTTCTTGTGGCTCACTAGGATCTCCCCCGTGACGTTTAACCTCTACATGCAGTCATCTTGCGTGTG